GTGAGGCCAAGGCCTTGCTACTGAAATGACAGGAAGCTTGAGTAATCAGCATGTTGCATGACATCCAAAATATAATAAAAATAGTGATATACCGAACAACTAACCAAAAGTGGCACTTGGGTCCTAGGCGAATAGCGTTGGAGCGTCTCGCAAACATTTCCTCAGCGATCTGATGTTAAACAGAAAGTTTGAAGATAAGTAACTGACGATTGACTCGAACACGAACATAGTTTTGAATCACATAGGGCTTCGTCAAAAACCACAGCGGTCAATGTAAAAATTCATGTTGACGCACAGAAACTAATTATTGAGCGAAACTTCAGAAGCATTTTTTATGAAACACAAGCATACGTCTATCTATCTGATTATATAAGCAAAGAAAAATTGACGAAGAAGATTAACTGGAAAATGTAAAGGTGAGTGTCCACCAGGATCACTTATCGATTAGTGGTGATGCACGAATACCGCGCCCGTACGCCGAGCTCCCAGGGCAATCACCTACTATGTATTGACTGGCGCTAGAAGGTATTATGTACAGATTGCATACACAGGGTGGACTAGAATTAAATAGACTTTGATGAGATGCATGATGAAGGAAACTGCCGAAGCGCGGACACAGACGGAGTGTGTCAACGCGACCGCTTCGTTGACGTTGCGCGTGCGTCAACCTACGATATTCAAGTCGGGACCCTCCACTTCCAACTTTTGCTAATGGAGTAAATCCAGAAAAGCAGTGTGAGTGTAAATGGACGCCTGATTCGACTAGCCCCTATTTCTGAAAGCCAGATGGAGAAGGTAACATAATCGAAGCGTTGCAGGTTCCAATTATACAGTGCGTTTCATAATTATAAGGTCACCCTCAAATTTTGCACTTTCAAGTAGAGCAATCATTAAGGATTTTTTCTAGCATCATGAACGGATTTCCCAGTACGAATAACCTAGGTATCCGTTTTCTAGCCGCAGCTGCATTCTTCTGAACTTTTTTAGAACACTTTATCGGTTTTTGCACCGTTTCATAATTATAAGGTCACCCCGCGAAAGTGAACAATTATCAGCGAAAGAGAGGAAATTTCGTGTTTGAAGATACTTGTAAAGGTAAGCATGTGTAGCAAAGAGTATATCCAAAAAAGCAATGTGAAAGAAAACGGACGCCTGGTTCGACTATCGTCTATTTCTGAAAGCCAGATGGAGAAAGTAACGTAATCAAAGCTTACAGTTTCCAATTATAGCCATAATTATTGATAACATCAACATTTCGGGAATGTTTCATTTTGGAAACATGTCGCATCCAATGCTATACCGTTCAACAGAAACCGCGGTAGACTTCAATGATATTACGGTAGTGATTATCGAAATTAAAGGAAGTTCTTTAGTTTAGACCCGTCGGTTTGTGAGTATGAAAGTATGTATGGAGTGAAGCTAAGTGAGGGAAGTGAAAATCTCCGACGGAAATGCTCGAAGGAGCGGGTTGGCTGCAGATAGGCAGTAGGCAACGAGAAACGGCTACATACTTGCGGCGTCGCAGTTGAGCGTGAGTGGCTGGTCGCAATGCACAAAGAGTCCCCCGCTTGTCGCCTATCGCGATCGCTCCTCCCAAGACAGAAAAGACTACCTATGACGGGCACGTGGATGGAATAAGAAAACAGCTAGGCTGTATTCGTGGCTGAATCGCCCAGTTGCCGCTAAATACTATCGAATGAGAAATCAGGTAGAAGTTTTTTTAAGGCGACCGGGATCAGCTTGTGTGTATTGAAGTTATGGCGTGAAATCAAACATGGTGTCCGTTACACCTTGCTTCATTTGGTATCACTATTATATCTGTGACATCCCGAAGAAGACGATGAAGGTTTAAAAAACATCCTAAACACGTGCAGCCTGGAAAGATTGATTTTCATGAATGGTTTGTTGGCTTCACTTCTGGCTCGCAAGTAATGTGACAGGTAGGAGAGTTTCATTTTCTGGCTGTTTTACTGTATTTTTGTACCTCTACAAGTCTGCTCTACGGATCTCCTTCACTGAGGGTTCCCTCTCACTGAAGGATCCCCAGCCGGCTACGTAGGGCGTCCCCAGGTAAAGGATAGGGAAATTAGCCGCCGACGAAAAGTCACCGGTACTTGCCCAGAGACGCAGGTAGATTCAGGGGATGG